TCCAGCTCCGCACCTTGTTATCTCTGATATTTTCTTGAACTTTGTCTTGAACATCATAATATGGTTAGCTCTTGCCTTTTTTGGCATTTTGAAAAGCTTTGGGGAAGGTGACAATGCCACCTAACCACATCAGAAGGATCTGCAGTGTTTCCTTTAACTATGTACTGATTTTAGGCCCAGATCTTGGCTTGAATAGCAGATTGAAACACTTGCTTTAGCATGAGCTCTTCCTACAATTATGTAATCCCTAATTAACCTGTCTTTTAAGGCCCCACATCAGCAGCACCCCGTTAAAATGTATAAATGTGTTTAAAATACTTCAATGGATTCTCTAGTTGCTGGGACGTCTGATTGAACCTTGCTGTTTCTATGACCACACTTTACTTTGGACCTTTAAAGCCAATAGTATTCTCTTCTACACCCTACCCCATGCCATTGGCTATAGTTGCAACTGTGTACAGATGTGTACTGAGCTGATGCCACTTTTCCTTTGTATATAACCCTGATGCAATCCTGTTTGAATGGAACTGCCATTGCAGAGCTTGTTCCCACTCCTAATCTCATTGTGGCTCTTACCATTTACATACTGCAGTGGCAATGGCAGTGTCTCAACTGGAGCTGCCATCGTGATTGATTACTGAACCGCACTGACCTGGGGAAGTACTTGCATTTTTTTCCATTAATTGTCAATGAACCATGTTTGTGCTCCAGAATTACCTGTTACACTGTTTTATCTTTGATATCTTTGAAGATTCTTTTCTGTCCGCCAGGGTCAATCCCGTCTTGTGTCTCTTAGACCTGGAATGTGCGACCGCCTTTCAAGAATTCTTGTTTTCAGCATGCTTTATGATCACACTCAACTATCTCTCGTTTCTTCATGCATTGAGTGTCTACACATACACTCTTTGAGGCTGGTCCATTTTACTGCCACTTTTCTTGCTGTCTGGCATGCCTGTGTTGTCCTTACCCTTGAGTGAGGCTCTCTCACTGTTTTCAATATTATACCACTATTTATTTACACTTGTAAATACATGTCTCTGAATGCAATTCCTTTGTCCAATGGTTTACTCCTGCTCCATTATACACTTCTGTCTGGTCTGATCTCCTGCTCTTGTCTGATGTGCTAATGTCAGAATAACATCATCAATTACATCATTACCATTATCATGTTCATATCCTATTATACTCCAACTCTCTTGTCAATCAAAAATACTTTTAACTCAGTCTTGAATAAATTCAATGACATGACTTCCGCTGCTTTCTGAAGAAGAAAATTCCACATACTAACTACTGCGTGAAGGTTAAAAAAGGATTCTCTTGATCTCCACCTTAACAGAGAGGCCTCTTATTCTTAACCATTGACCCCTAGTTCTTGTCACCCCTACAAGAGACAACATCTTCCAGATCCAGGAACACTTACCTTTGGAAGGACAAGAGCAGCACCTTCATCTTCCTCGCCAAGCCACTCACCATCTGACTTGGAAATATAATCACCATTCTTTCAGTGTTGCTGGATTGAAATCTAGAATTCTCTCCTTAATTCTTTCCATGGGTGGCATGGTAGTACAGTGAGTAGAACTTCTGCCTCACAGCACCAGGGATCTAGGTTTGATTCCAACCTTGGGTGACTGTATGTATGAAGTTTGCATGTTCTCCCTGTGTCTGCGTGGGTTTCTGCCAGGTGCTCCGGTTTCCTCCCCCAGTCCAAAGATGATGTGGAGATGCTGGTGTTGGACTGGGGTGGAGAAAGTCAAAAATTACACGACATTAGGTTATCGTCCAACAGGTTTATTTGAATATGCAACCTTTTGGAGCTCAGCTTCTTCCTCAGGCCTGAGCCTGGGCCAAATAGCCTATTTCTGCATTTTAGGGTTTTGATGAATGGCATTGTGGGCCTGTTTAAGTACAATGACAACAGTGGTTCCAGAACGCAGCTCACCACCACCTTCTTAAGGACACTAGGAATGGGCAATAACTGCTGGCCTGGAGAGTGATGCGAACATCCCATCAGTGAATTAAAAAGGTTAAAGAAAGCCAGGAAACCTGATTGGGAAAAAGTTCCCACAGGGGTCACCATTTCATAATAAGGAGTCATCAGTAAAGACAGAGATAAGAGAACTATTTTACTCACAAAAGTTGGTGAGTTTTTTTGGAATTCTGTTCCTCAAAGGGCAGTGAAAACATACTCTTTAAATATTTTTAAGGCAGGAGTAGATGGATTCTTGATAAGGAGGTGAAAGATTATCTAATGTAGGCGGAAATTTGGAGTAATCAGAGCAGCCATAATGTTATTGAATGGTGGAGCATGCACTGGAGAATCCTCCTTCGTATGTTTGTATGAAATCGTTTATATTTAGAAGAAATTTGAAGGGATGGGGGAGAAGAGAAATAAAAAATAGTTTATGTATAAAGATTGACTAAAAGGAGAAAAAGTTAGTAAAGGATTGAGAGGAGGATAGGTGGACTTAAATTTAAGATTTACAGGGAGGAAACATGGAAAGGTTTAAATATTAACACTAAGATATTTAACCAGGCGAAAATATTAAAAAGGTTTAAGAAAGGGAGACGGGAGAAATAGAAAGATTTAAGTATAAACACAAAATGATTTAACTGGGGTAAGAAATAGAAAGAATTATAAAGGGGAGATGGGGAGTAATGGAAAGATTTAGGTATAAAGACTAGGAGATTTAGGCAGGAGAGAAGATGGGAAGGGTTACGATGGAGACTTGGGGAGAAACGGAAAAGTATAAATATAATAACTCAGATTTAGGCAGGGAAAAGATGGAAAGGATTATGAAGGAGAGATGGGCAGGTTTAAATATAATGATTGAGAGATTTAGGCAGGAGAAAGATGGAAAGGATTATGGAGAGATGGGGAGAAATGGAAAGGTTTAAAAATAAAGTCTAAGAGAACTAACAGGGGAAATAGATGGAAAGGATTATGAAGGGGAGGGCGAATATGGAAAGATTTAAGAAGAAAGAGAGCCAGGGGCCTGGGAGGAAATTGAAAGGGGATGAGAAAACGTAGAGATCTGGCAGTTGAGGAGAGGAAGGGGTGGGGGAAGGTAGAGAAGGCTGACTGCGTTGGGGGGGGAAGGGAAGCAGGACGGGACTACAGCACCCAGGATGCAGTGCAGGCGGCGCAGGCGCAGTGAGCGTTGGCCTGTCTGCGAGCGAGGGAGGGGGAAAAGAGGCCGGGGCCGGCGCGGTGGCTGCCGGGATAGGGCCCTGCACTCGCCGCCATATTGGTATCGGTTCGGATCCTGTCAGAGGTGCTGGGAGTGAGAGCCGGAGCCGAGCTCTAAAACCGGAGCAAGGAACAGCAACATTTCCACCGGCGAGCAGGAGGGGGTGGGGGGGAAAAAAAAGAGGAGGGGGAGAGAGTTCCTCCCCCCAAAAAAAAGGGCCAACCTCCGTACGATATCACTAGGGAGCGTGAAAAAAAAGGAGAGAGGGTGGGGAGGAAAGAAGAGCCAAAAAGGAGGCGATTCTCTCTCTCTCTCATACACTCTTCGCTCCCCCCGCCTCCACCTCGGATCTCCACCCCCCTCCCCCCCGACAGCCTGTACCCTCCCCTGGGCCTGATCCCTCCCTCCCTTCACACCACTCCCCTCCCCCCTCCCTCTATCCCCGTCCACAGACACAGACCGGGGCCCTCCGTCGCAATGAGCCCGGCCGACGCCAAACGGGCGAAGAGGAGAAAAAATAAGCGGGGCGGTGGCAAGACAGTGAGCCGTCAACAAAAAACCCTGACGCCCTCGTCCAGCAACGGGAGTAGCGGAGGAGGAGGCAGCGGGACCAACGGCACCTTACACGGGGAGGTAAATCAAGGAGGCAGGCAGCTCCTGCATCTCTCTCACGTATATTTTTATATAGAGAGACATATTAAAGGTTGATCGGGTTGGTGGGTGGTGGTGTTGGTAATAACAAACGCACATCCTAGAGCAGAAATTAGCCGGTGTGTTTGACAGGGACATGTAAAGGGCGTTGTAAACTCAGCCTTGGTCTGTAGGCCTCTTGTCTGCTACCTGCAACTCAAAAAAACCAACCAAAACCCCTGTCTGCCATTCAAAACAATGAATTCCATCTCTTTTTTTTCGCTCTCCTTCCCCAACCCACTCCCAAACCGTTCACTTCCAGAGGCTCATTCCCTCTGTTTAATCCAAGCCGATTCAGTACATCTTTAACATTTTTTTTCTTCAATATGTATGTACACACAAAGCAGCTTGCACTATATTTCTGTGGAATATATTAATGAATTTTCCACCTCCTAAGCTTTTGAGATGTACAGTGATTTGATTTTAATTTGCGCTGCTTTCTTATGTTTGAAGTTTACCTGCATGTACCAGAAGGGTAGTTTATTTGGATTGATATACTTTCTATTATCTTTTTTCATCTGTACTTCAGTTGTTTACTTTCTTGAAGGCATTGGTAGTGTATATAGTACTGTATAGGGCATTGTATTTAGAAGAATATTTTATACTACTGCAGTATACTGTCTTGGGAATGCTTGTGATTTGTTATTTTTGAATGTAGAATAGTTGGGATGTTTTTGGGTGCTGAATGTGAACTTTAAGAAGTCAATATTTTGCAGACAATGTTGTACTAGGATGACTAGTCATACATCCTCATATCAATGGTATGGGTAGTAGTGTCTTTGTCAAGCAAATGTACAAAATGATTGAAAAAGGCACTGTCTGGTACTAAAACAAATTCTTGTTTATGATGAACCTAATGGCAGACCTTGTTAGAAGGTAACCTTTTCAAATGGGATCTCTGGTTTCACACTCAAGGTTGACTTTGTACAAAATTGATCTTGAAAACTGACATTTGATTTTCTAATTTGAAATGAGTGATTCAATGTGCTGCCATTTTAGAAATAAAGGAGGACACTTGTACTTTGTGAATGCTGCATTTGAAATTTCATGCCCTTCAGCTGCAGAATAAAGTGAGGTATTTATTAGAGCAGCAGATATTTGTATAGTGCCATAATGTGATGCAGAGTAAAAGGGTACATGAGGGATGGCAAAGTTTGGTCAGAGGTAAATTTTCATGAGGGTTTTTGAAGAAAGAGGGGTAGAAGTTTGTAGGAATTCCAGAGCTAAGGGCCTAGACAGCTGAAGGCAAAACTGTCAATGATGGGGGCTAACAGTGTAAAAGGCCAGAGTTGGAACAGCATGGAGGTGGCGGCGAGTGCGCGGGGCGTGGAGTTGATTGGGTATATAAAGTGATGTCTCGGAGGGATTTAAACAGAATAATTATAAATTTAGGGCTGGCCTCCGGCCAGTGTAGGCCAACAATTATGGGGTTATGGATGACTATGGCTTGGACCTCGAATATGGTCTGCAGAGTTTTAGTATATCCCAAATTTATGAAAGGTGGAGATTGAAAGGTTGGCCTGGAGAACACTGGAATAGTCAAGTCTGGCTATAGCAAAGATATAAATGAGGTTCTCAGCAACAGATGGGCTGAGTGGAGACAGGTGATATGGAGGTGGGAGCAGGTGGCCTTTGTAATGGAGAAGTGTTGAGCTTTGGTTTGAGTATTACAAATTTGCATATGGTAGTCCAGACATGCAGTTTTATGCCAGCTGGAGTTGTTATACCAAATACTTATATCAGAATTTGTTTTAATGCTGATCTTTAATTTTTGAAATGATCCATGGTCTTACATACGTAAATGTCCAAATACGAGTGATTCATTTTGATTAGAAATGACATTTCGTGGTGTGGCATAAAATAGTTTACTTAGCTATTTAGTTTAAATATGTGCATTTGTTTTAAATTCAACATAATATTCAACTTTTTCAAGATCAGTATTCAGGTCCTGTGTCATAATGTCACAACTTGGACCCTGAATAATAATTTCTTGAGTTAGATGAGGTTTGAAAATCTACCTTGTCATTAGCTTTCTTTGTTAATCCAATGTAAACCTGTTATTAAGGATTTCCCATTCTTGTCATTGTTATACATAATTAGTCAAATTTCTCCAAATTATGTACACATTGTGTGTCTGTACTATCTGAGCTTATCACATGTTTAGATCAGTTGTAAGTGATGTGATTTTGCTTACTGATGAATAGAAACTAGTTAGTGATGTCTGCAACAAATACTATAATTTTAGAGACAAAAGATCTTTCTGCAAGTTGGGTGAGCTGTTCACAGGTGTGCAATAAAGTACAGAGACTTTAACTTGTTTGGGGCAAGAGGAGGTCATGAACCATGCAAAATAAGTTTCCATTTGCTTCTCATTGAAGGATTGACACTTTGATGGAACAAGCACTGTAATGCTGTACATTACCAGAAATACTGTTGTGTGGGATGTATACTTGTTGTGACTGGTTATTTGCAAAACATATTACACATTGGTGGCTCACAGCGTGGGTGATTGAAATCAGTTTTTGTTGACTAGTTATATTAAGGTTTAAATTCTGGAACCAGAAATTAAGGGGAGGCAGTGATGTTGTCACAGACTGGTAATCCAGAACCCTACATTAATGTCATGGGTTCAATTCCTATTATGGCATATAGTAGAATTTGAGTTCAATAAAATATCTGGAATAAAGAAAGCTTAATTGTGACCTTGTAACCACTGTCAATTGTTTATTTGAAAAAAAAATCTGTCTCTCCAATATCCTTTTGGGAAGGAATCTTCGATCCTTCCGTGGCCTGGCCTATGTATGACTACAAACCCACAGCAATTTTACTCTTAACTGCACTCGGGCAGTTGAAGGATGGGCAACAGATGCTGGCCTAGCCAGCAACACCTATATTCCATGAATCAATAAGCTCTCCCAAAATTTGAGAACGATCTTCAAAATAATTTGTTCAAATATTTAAAGATTACTTGATAAATTTTGTTTTTTTAACAACGTCCATTGTCAATCTAAATTTGTACATCTTATGAATTGTTAGGTGTCTCTGCTCAGTACTTGATGTATTTGAAAATTTAATTGACAGTAGACAGTGTTGTAGACATGAATTGCCTACTGCTCTGCCTGTTAGAGAAGAAAATGCCTTTTGGATGTGAAGTATTGCAATTTTATGACTGTTTGTGGTTTAGGCATCAGTACCAACAGAAACACTTGCTGTTTTGAATTGGTAGCTATTCATTGCTGATTGATGCCACATTGGTCATTCATCTAATTTAGTTTAAGTCAAAAATCACATTTCAGTGAGAATTAATGCATGTTTTATGTTTGTTAACTGAAAAAGACAATGGCACAATATAAACCATAAATTTTACTCATACTACTGTTTGAATTGTTTAAGTACCTGCCACATTTCAAATTTCCAGTCATTACCAACACAGTTGACATATCAGAATCCAATTTATTTCCTGTAAATGTTGCATACGTCATTTGAAGTAACTTCACTAAAGTACTTTACACCTAAGATCACTAGAATAATACCAGAAAATATGATTATATTCTCAAATGGAGGAAATTATGGGTGTGGTGGAGAGAAAATGTATAGAAGTGTTGAAAATCGAGGGAATTCTAGAAGGAAACAAATGAACAATACTTTTCTCTGGTGTTTGAATGACAACTGGCATAAAAATTCAAGATTAGTACTGAAATGAAGGGGAGGCCTCGAATAATTAAATATGTATGTTAATCAGGAGTTTGACCAATGGCCTATTGTGCCTGCTTTTTAATAGGATGATGGCTGACTTTCAGCTGCAACCCCACTGTCCCTCCAAATCCCCATATGCCTTGATAATCCCTGAGGGACCAAAAATCTGTCTCTGAACCTTAAATGTATTCAGTGATGGAGCATCCAAAACAATCTGGGGTAGAAAACTCCAAAGATCACAACCCTTTGAGCAAAGTAATTTTGCCTGACTTCAGCCTTAAACCATTGGCTCCTTATTCCAATACCCGGCCCCTGTGGTATTGGTTCCCCAGCTGGGCCAGTAACTGCTCTGACTACCCTGTCAATTTTGTATGTTTCAGTGTGATCACCTGTTTTGGTAAATTGTGGAGAATATTGATCCAATTCACTTAGCTTCACCTCTCTCATAGGACACCCCTCTCATCCCAGGACCAATGCAAATTAGCACTTATTTAAATATGAGAACCAGAGCTACATATGGGTGCACAATTGCAACAAAGCTTCTGTAGATATTCTGAATCAGCCTGATCGGGTCTATTATGACACACCTCTGGAGCTGATGGCACCTGAATCCGAGTTTTCTGGGGCAAAGGTTCTGTATTCTTATACAAGATAAAGGTAAAGTTGGTATAGTCCCAGAGGACTCAAATGATGGTGAATTTAAGTTGAAGGTCACCACGTCTCGGGTGAGGGGCAAAGTTGAGAAGGCAGGACCTTCATGGTGACTTGGCTAGTATAAGAATTACACCTGGACTATTGGCGTTACTCTGCATTGCAAACCAGCTGCCTGAGCTAACTGGCCCCCATTCTTGTACTAGTCTCCTTGCAATAAAACCAATACGCTATTTCCCTTCCTAATTGCCTGCTGCACCAGCATGCTAACTTTGAGATCTTTACAGAGGCATATCCAGATTGCTGCTCAGCAGCATTTACAAGTTTGACATCATTTTTTAAAACAAAATCTGCTTTACTTGTTCTCCAGAGTGCCCAACCTCCCACTTCTTCGCAGCATGCTTCATCTGGCATCTTGTCGACTATTCATTTGTTCTGTCTTTATCTGTACAGCTTTTCTGTGCACTCTTCAAACTTGCTTTCCCATCTACGTTTGTATTGTTAGCAAACTTAGATATGTTTTGACTCTCTTTGCTTAAGTAAATAACATAGATTGCAATTAACAGGCCATAGTACTGATTCCTGCCAATTTGAAA